CCTGGTGGCTGCTGCAGGTACAGGACAAGCTCTCTTGTGAGCTTGAATAAAACAACCCCCAGTCATGCTAACATGTTTCAGGTACAGAATATGGAAAACCTGCCAGGTAGTGGAAAGTTACCTCTCGCTAAATAGTCATTGCTGGCATTTGAGGAAACAGTTCATGTGTCTGATGGGGAAACCACCTGCATATTTCCCTTGCAGCAGCCATTCTTGTTTGCTACTGTGCTCTGTTGTAGTTAAACTCACAGAAATGTCTATGATAGTAGGACATGCACTAGTTTGAATAAAGGCTAGTATCACTTACACCACAAGACCTCTTATACCTCTTATACCACTTATATCACAAGACCTCCAGACACAAAGGCTGTTTTTTTTCTGTTTTGGTATGTTGTGCTTGCTTCCCTAGTATCTTTTGGGTCTCTGAGAGCTGGAAGTAATTAGGAAACTGCACTGGCTCCAATTCATTTCTTTGTGCTGGTGGATATGTCTGAGAGGCTAAAATTAGATCAGCAGGAGAAACTCCTTATATTCCTTGCTGAGCCTTAGAGAAAAGCTGAGGGATGGAAGCCTCAACTAATGTGGGTATTGGCTGTGCTGCATTTCAAATTTGTATTTAAAGGCATTGCACATTCTTTACTGTTCTTTTTATAAATGTCTTGGCAGGAAGCCTAAGCAAATGGGCCAGCTGGAGTTGCTGATTGTGGCTCCCAGAGCCGTATATACTGAGATCCAGCGCCTGCTGCTTGCCTTGCACTGCTCAGTTGGAACAACTCCTCCCCCCACCTTGCTCCTTGCTTAGTCCTTACTTGCATTCTAGCAGCCACCACCAGCAGCACCCCTGGGAAACATGAACCCTGGACAAGTCTGACACTCAAACATGAGTAAGCCCTTCAGTGTGGTCTGTGAAGGGAATCTCTGTGATGCAACTGAGGGGACAGCCTTGGAAAAAGGGAGGAGTCCATCTGATATTTGAACAATTCAGTGCACTCCTGCAAAGACTTCACCACAGCTGATTTTTATTTTTTTTTTCTATAGTGAAGAAAATGCTGTATGGTATGCTGAGATTCCAAAATAGCTTGGCTTGCTCAGCTCTGTGCCAGCTGGAGCTTATTCTGTGTGTATGTCCAGACTGGTTCACCTCTAGCCCAATTACAACACATCCTCAACACCCAAAAGATCACAATTTCTCATTTGCATTAGGTGCACGTTCATACCTTGTTGTCCTTTGGGTGTTTCCCATGTCCTGAACTAACACCAGACTTAAGTTTTTTAATGCTTCCATGTAGCACTAGACCATGTTACTTGCAGAAATTCAGTTCCCTGTTCAGCTTACCTACAGATGCTAGCAGCACCCACTGCTTTATCAGGTATG